CATTTGTTTGCATCCCAAAATGAAATTAATGTGCATATATGAAGACGAATATTTTGCATTTAGGAAATAAATTTTGATATAAATATCCTTTGCTTGTGAAGTTATATATTTTAATTAAACAATTATCGGGTAAATTATCTACACATTACTAGATTACATGTATATTTACAGTTATAAAAGACAACAGAACCATCCAATAACGAGATGGTAGCATTCTCCTAACATTTGTCATTCTATTATTTTATGCATCACTATCACTTTTAAAATAAATAACTAAGGGGGCGATTGTTTATTGTTTATAAATTGAATAGTAAAAAAAACAATCAAAACTCAAATTTAACTCAACTTTAACTGAACCTCACTATCCTCAATATTATTAATATAATTAAATAATATCAACCAATCATTCTTACACATCACATCAACTTTATTTCACTATTCATTCACTCGCATAACCTAACTAACTATCACTTCCAGTCATTTTTTCCCTTCTTTACATCAAATCAATTTTAATTATTTTATTTAAATATTATTTTTATATATTCACTGACCATTAACCATACCACTTTTTTTTTTAAAAAAAAAATTAACTATAATTAAAAAACAAATCTAATAAAAACTGGTTTAATCCATAAACTATCACCCCTTAACATACACATCATTTTAGTCATCATTTATGTCACAATATTATATCAAAGTAGTTTAACAATGGGGAAGATAAGGGCCTAGATCGGCCCGTATAATTCCAAACCCAGCCCGACTCTGTGATCCATAGCGGGTCCCCCAGGCCAGACCCGAGACGTTCGTCTCGGGCAAGACCGACCTACCCCAACCTTTGTTTATATTTTTTGTATTATTTAAATTCATTAATAGTACAATATTATACTTATATTTTATAAAAAAAGTATAAAGATATTATATTATACATTAGAAAAAAAAAAAAAGATAAATTATGATAAGCGTGAACTTCTTTTCACTTCTAGAGGTATGTGAGTGGATGAATATCAGAACAAAAATCTGATAATTTAATTTACTTTAGCAATATGGAAGAAGAGAGAACAATAACATATGTAGCTTTTTCTTCACTATATTTTGTTGGCTACAAATTCGTTTAAAAGAAAAAAATATATATATATATATATTGAAGATAATAATATTTTTACAAAGTGAAGCATATTCTTGAATCTTCATATATCTCTTGTCACATGGAGTGTATAAAACGGAAAATATATTATTATTAATTATAAATAGACATCTTTTTCATATTATATGAATAGAAATGCATACTCATACTTGGTAACTTCAAACTTATACAGATTTTCTGAAGGACATAGTTAATTTATGAGATGCTACAATCTCGTTACGGAACCATTCCGTCGAGTTTGTAACTGTTAGATCAAACTATCCCCGACAGTTGCATGATGATTCAACAATTACAAACTCCGACGAAATGGTTCTATAACGAGACCCTAAACATTTCCCGTTAATTTAAGTGTTTATGCAATAATTATAATACAAATTATCAAATTTACATACATAGTCAACTTACTTCATGAATTTGATCATTTTCACGGTCACTTAAGATTCATCAGAAGTCAACTATATTCTACCTTACTAGTGAAGACAGTACTCTTATTGAATTTTTTACCTTTAAATCATACAAACTCATATGGTGGGCTCAAAATTTGCCTGTAAGCTAAGTGTACATCACCTATAATCTCCTTCATTTTTCTCTTGTGTTTTGTGTGATGAAAAAGGCATGCAAATACAAAGTGGTAAACTGAAACCAAAGAATTTGAAAAGTATATACAGTCAAGATGAAAATTACCAAAAATCTCCAAAAGCCTAAGGCAAAGGCATTGGTGGTTTCCATTTTCCGAACTCTACTAAATCTCGGTTCACAATCGACCCGTTGTGCAGCCAAAATGTCTCGGCCGACTGATGGAATAGCCTCACCTTCTTTTGAAGTTCCCACAAGATTCCACCAAAAGCCGAGCAAGGTTCGGATTCGGGAGCATACACCCATAAGCACCGCACTCGCCTGCCCCTAGCAATCATCTCCTCTATGGTTTTATCTGTTAGAAAGCACCAATTTAGCTAATAAATATAATCCTCAAGAAATTTCAGATAACCGGGTTACTTTCTAACTTTTTTAGTAAGTATTATTTATTATTTGTAATTTACACAAAAGAAAATGCAGTTGGAGGAGTAATAGATCATGATGGCAACCTGGAATTGATCCTAAGTAATCCAAAAGCTCGGTTCCTATACGAGTTGACGGCCACTTAATTGAGATTTGGCTGTAATCGACCACATTTTGGAAAGGTAATTCCACTTGATCGGATAAGATTACCGGAACACACTCCTACTCGGTACAAAGAAATAGCTTGACTGAGTTGAGAGAGATTGTATTTGGGTTAGTGTTGTTAAATTAAACGAACCTGGTTCGAGTTCGAGGCCTTAACTAGCCAAGCTCGAGCTCATATAAAGCGCGTTTGGTTAACAAGCCGAGCTCGGCTCGGCTAGATAAGACTCGAAATTAGATTTTTTATAAAATTTTCTACAGTTCGGCTAGTTAAAGCTAGAGATCGGATCGTTAAGGCTCAAGCTCGATTTCTGGCATGTTTATTTAACGAGCCGAGCTGATTTACAGAGCCTAATCTGGGTTTTGAAAACAAACGAAGCTGAAGGAAAACATATAATACCACAAAAAATGACTCGTAAAAGCGAAGGGTCCACGATGATTCTCCACGTGGGGCCAAGCAGAACTTCGCATTGCGGAGATGCTGAAAATACTCTGTCCTCCCCAGTTTACCGGGCCCACTGAATTTCAACTCTGGAGATTCCAACTGTTCATGGAATCAATATGCATGTATATATACTCGGGAGTGTTTTTTTTACAGCAAAAAAACGAGTTTCGTTATTAAAAATAAGTTGAGCTATATAATAAGTGCGAAGAATCCAAAAAATCTTTCTCACAAAAGGGTTCATCGAAACAGATTATAACTGAAAGAAATACCTTATCAGGATATTGCTTTGCAAGATCGATCAGTTTCAAACGACCTGTTTTTCCTTGTGCCCGGCCTAAATAATTAGCCAAATATTTCCTCCTTGATAAAGGCAAAGGGTCAACTAGCCGAGACTTGTGTGATGATGTCATTCCATCATCAACATTACCAGGTATGATTATATCTTTCCATGTATTGAAGGCACTGGTGTCTCGTTTATCTGTGCGGTCTCCCTAAATGCAAAACAAATAAAAAGAGAACTTTTAGTCCGGTAAATGAAATTGTATTTAAAGCTCGTGAAGAAGTTAGTTGATAGGCTAGACGGCATTTTAAAATAACAATTTTATGATATTAAGGGATTTGCATACAACCAATACATAAAAGAAGTGCACTCTGTGCACCTTCACAAGTACGTACCTCTGGAGTCAAAATTATAGAACGATTTATATACGTCGACCACGACTTGAACAAATGAGCTCCAGCACCACTGCAACAGAAAAAAAAATGTCAGACATAATATACTGTACTCTCATTTTCTCCTCTTTTAAATTTTTCTTTTTTTTTTCAATTTTTTACTCTTGTTTTAGGATAGGAAATCATTCTAAATGGTTTCAATTTTCAATGACCAATGAGATGCTCATAAAATTAATGAATAGCATAACTACTTCACAAAACTGTGTATGCAACTACAAAGGTGAAGAAACAATCGGGAGTTAGTTTAGCCTTAAGCATGATAGAAACATTTGGGTTCTGCTGATTAAACATTGCATCTCTCTCCAAAATTCCTAACTGTAAATGAAGACAGAAGAATCAAACAACTTCATGAATGTTAATCTTCATTTTACACACCATAGCAAGCAACAAGAACAATATACCTTGGGAAAACGAAAATATGGTTGCGGCCACCCGATAACCTGAAATATGGCATTTGACTTAAAACCTGAAAACAAATAGTGCTAATTTAAATAACAATTCCATCAGGATAATGTTTTGCAAACTCCCTGTGTTTGCGTAAAGAATTGCATTACCTTTACATAAGTTTGGTTGATTTCTTTATCATTCAATCCACCCTTCATACGAACACATTTAACATAAGATGGCACGAAGAACAGATCAGCTTCCTCTTTCTTTCTGGTTCGATATGTTGATTGCAAAAGTAACCTATGTATTTTAACCTACACAAAATTAGATAATTTGAATAAAAAAGTGGGACTTGTAAAATA